CCCCCCCTCCTCTTTATGTTGGCATGTACAGGGAGACGGAACGCTACTTGCAACTGGTTCATATGATGGCCAAGCTCGGATCTGGAGCAAGGACGGTGAGTGGCTCTTTGCACATGTTTCTTGTATGCAATCCTCCTCCGCGTAAGGTTTGCTGATGGAGTGATAGCATGGGGAATAAATATGTTGGCACGACATGCGGTCTGTAAAAATGGAGTGGATGTACAGCTAGATTCTCCAAGTTAAGACGAAAATGTTTGAACTCTGCACCGGTAAATAAGATGAGAACTTGTGAAAGTCTAACTGATGATTTACCAGAACATGTGATGAACTCTGTAATCGGTCGAAGTAAGGCTTTAGCCGTTGTGTTGTTTTTAGTGGTGCTGAGGTTCGTGGTCGTCTGCCCTAGGTCTGGGTTATCGCGACTGTAATGGAAGTTGTTAGTGGGTATACCTGCAAGCTGTCTGCCAATCCTTCGATCCTTCATTCAGTAGACTTGAATGGGGAATCATGCATGTGAGATATGTCCAATTGCGTGAAGAGGGAGCCGCTTCTCATCTTATTGTGAATAGGTTGCATGCAATGCATGGGCATTGTGACTGTATCGAGGACAGTTCCTGTAGTCGAGAGCCCGGTGATGCCCATGCTTTCTGTGGAAGTTTTGACACGCAAAGATTTAACTCCACCTCGTTCGGTAGAGAGAGATATTTGTCGAAGTTTTGACATGCAAAGATTTAACTTTGCTGATACCCAGACTTCCCGGCGTAGGAAAACATGCACATCACACTCACCTTGGCAGCGTAGGCATCTTCAGAGGGTTCTAGTGATCTCACATGATGACGCAAACGACTTTCCTTGTGGTGTTAATATTTAGGTAATTATTACATGTTGAATGGTTAAGTAACAGTCTGTATAGGTGTCATGTCCTGCATTCTTTAACTCAAGAGGAAGTTACTCTTTGGCTAGGAACCCGGTAGCGGCTATTACTGCACCTTGTGTGGGATGAATCCACACATCATGCTTCTGAGGGCAGGATCTTGTCGAATAGTTCATTGCGATGGGTGACCTGTTTTCACTCTGCAGTGACTTTCACAGGCTTATTGCAGTGTTCTAGTACTCTTAGGGCTGCATTAGCAGAGATATGTTTCACTGTGGTGAGCAGAATGTGGGCGTGGACGGGCCAGCAGTCCGGTCAATGAGATTCTGTTTTCCACACCGCTCTCCTGATTGTCAGGCTAGCATGTTTGCGATCTACAGGGAAAACTTCTGAGGAAGGAGGCATATATGTGGGTAGACACGAACTGTTAGGTTGCCGGTCATCAGGTTTCACAGATGAGAAGTTTCAGTATGGTGAGAGGAATGTGGGCGTGGAGGTGCCAGCAGTCTGTTCAATGAATTCTTTTTTCCACACCGCTCTGCTGATTGCCAGTCTCGAAGGGGAAGCAGATACTAGATAGGGAGCACATTTGCGATCTACAGGGAAAGCTTCTGAGGAAGGAGGCATATATCTGGGTAGACATGGACTGTTAGGTTGCCAGTCATCGGTTGTCACAGATGAGAAGATAATCTCAGGTAGGATAATTCTGTGTGAGTATGCTATGTCGGGCAAGTGAGTGGATGGCAGAGCTACTGTCACATGACTTTTCAGGTTGAACTAGGGCATGCGGAGCTACTGTCACATGGCTTTTCGGGTGGAAGTAGGGCACGCTTTCCCTTCATGCTCCGGATTACCAGGACCTCCCCCATCACCCACACTTGCAGAAGGTTGCGGACGGTATAGCTACTACGTGCTTTGCACACGTAGTAGTCTGTTGAAGGCTTTGTGCCATGTCCTAGTGGAAGTGGAAGTGAGTTTACCTCGGATGGTGTGTCAAGCTGTACAAGCTGTTTGAACAAAAGGCTCTGTCAAATGCATGGCATGAGGAAATGACTTTCTGAAATCTCTGAGGACAAGTGCATTACTACTGTTTATTCGTGGAAGAAGACGATGGAGAAGCTGGTGCTGAGGAATTCCCATTCACGGTCCCTAAGAGCTGAATGATTATGTATAACCGGAAAACGTATGTGGATATTTTCTTGGCTGGATGTCACGCTTGGGGGGGAGGGGAGAGAGAGAGAGAGAGAGAGAGAGAGAGAGAGAGAGAGAGAGAGAGAGAGAGAGAGAGAGAGAGAGAGAGAGATGGGCAGAGAGTTGGCAGCGTTAGTCCACTATGACTGGAAAAGTGGAGTGGTCATAGCTACTGCTGCAGTTTTTGCTTTCTTTGCAATATTGAAAGGATTCTCTCTCTGAGTGCATCACAACCCTGAAGAGAAGAGAGAGAGAGAGAGAGAGAGAGAGAGAGAGAGAGAGAGAGAGAGAGAGAGAGAGAGATGGGCAGAGAGTTGGCAGCATTAGTCCGCTATGACTGGAAAAGTGGAGTGGTCATAGCTACTGCTGCAGCTTTTGCTTTCTTTGCAATATTGAAAGGATTCTCTCTCTGAGTGCATCACAATCCTGAAGAGAGGGGGGGGCCATAGGGCTGATCCAGAGTTCTTAGTGGCAGTGCATGTGGTCAGACCTACGAATGCAGTTCGTCATGCAATCTACTGTTCTGGTACTCTCCTTTACTGTGCCATTCGCATTATCACTGCTCCTTTGTGTTCTTGTCAGGCCGGCTACGATGTGGATGGAGTATGACCTGCTCAACTGTACACATGTTAATAGTTCTGTATGTATGGAAGAGTTTCCATGTTTGTGTTCATTCTTTTCCTTTGTGCTTGGATATTCTGGCTGCAGCAATCCTTTGGCTTCATATTTGACAANACGAGTTCTACGGATTCCCCACGTCCTCCAGCCGGCAAGGGTGGGCTCCAAGCTTCCACACTCTCTAGAATGTTTAGCTAGCTTGTGTTTCTTTCTTCGCAATGTTTCGTATGAGAATTACTGACATCGTTGTTCCTCTGCTTCTATGCATTTGCTGTGACGGTGACGATCGTACTGCCGCAATACAGCGAGCCAGTCTACTCGGTGGCATTCAGTCCCAATGGCCAGTTCCTTGCCAGTGGATCTTTCGACAGATGCCTGCATATATGGTCCGTGAAGGATGGAAGCTTGGTGAAGACATACAGAGGTGACGGGGGTATCTTCGAGGTCTGTTGGAACAAAGACGGGGACAAGGTTGCAGCCTGCTTCTCCAACAACACAGTCTGTGTATTGGACTTCCGGATGTGAGACCCTTGGCAGAGGACTATCATGGTTTGATTTATCTGAAATTATCTTGCATTCCACCAGCTGTCGTGAAGGGGGGGGGGGGGGGGGGGGGGGGGGGGGGGGGGGGGGGGGGGGGGGGGGGGGAACCGTCACATTTCCTGGTTCTATCAACAATCATCCTCTTTATTTCCCGATCTTCATTAGTGATTCCGTACCGATATAGGCAGGGGAGGTCCCTCCGCACTTAATCCTGCTGTCAGGCACTCGGCTTTTTCTGCCTTTTGCGTGTCTGTTTGTCCGCTCTTCTTATGCTTTTCCCATCGTTTTGTTCCCCCAAGGCCGGCTTGTCATAGATGTTACATATTATGTTTGCCTTTGAATGACTTATTATCCCTACGACTCTAACAGAAAAGTGTTAATGATTGCAGATCCAAGGGGTTTATATGGTTATATCGTCACGCCCATCTGTCGGTGCAGGATTCAAGAAAAAGAAGAAGAAAAAAAAGGGGTTTATAACTTTATATGGTTGCGATGCCCTCCGTAGTGAAGGCATGATGCCAGCTTGTAAAGATCAAGTTATGCAGCAGTTGCCTTTTTTGGTCTCTTTGTGAAATTGTGAGCATGAGCGAAACGTGTTGGAAGAGAAGGAATGTCGAGGAGGTCCATCCGTGCTCCCACAAGCGAAGCTCTTCTCAGGTTTGTTATCCGCTCCTCCTCCTCCTCCTCCTCCTCCTCCTCCTCCTCCTCCTCCAGGGTCTCCCGCTTTGTGGACCTAGGAATATTAGTGAACATATACAAAAAATGGGAAAAGCCATTCTGTACACATTCAACAAGCAGGCCACAAGATTTTCCTCGCCGATATATGTCGAAACGTCTCGATAGCAATTGAGCTACATATCATTGATATGTGGGAAATATGTAAGCAGCTATAGAGCAAGCAATGAAAAGAACCGATAGCTTTGTGTCGTTCACTGATGATGAATCTAGTCAGTAGGCTCAGTACCATGTAATTTGTTCAGGTCTCTTCATCAATTCAGTCGGTCTCAACATGGGGAGTAAAAAAAGAAGAATGATAAAAAGGAAATGGGTTTTACTGTGCTGACTGCTCTTCATGTTTGCCTTGCGTATGTTTGTATCATTCTGTTCGCAAAGTGCGCTCTTTTAGTTCATGGATGTGTGACAACGTATTCTCAGTAGTTTTGCTCAAAAGTATTCACGTGTGGGTGATGGTATGTTTTCCTATTGTGGCAATGGGACGGAATGGGCCTGTGCAAGTTCTTCGAGTACTTCGCCTTGGATCGGTGGACGACTACTCAGTCTGCTAAGTACCAAGTGCTTGGATGGTCGGAGTTGGCGGACCAGTGCGCACAGTTATGATCATATCACAGCCTGTGTTCTCACCTTTTGGGAGATCGTTTGAGTCGAGTACTTCGCCTTGGATCCGTGCGCACTTCGATGGTTGGATTTTGAGGGCCACTCAAGGCAGGGGACTAACTGCCAGGATGGTTGGATTAGGGGGGCCTCACTGCACAGTTGAGATCATATCACAGCCTAGGTTCTCGCCTTTTGGGAGATCATTTGAGTCTAGTACTTCACCTTGGATCGGTGCGCACCACTCAGCAGACTCAGTACTTAGTAGACTTGAGTACTCTGTGCTTCGATGGTTGGAGTTGGTGGGCCTTACTGCACAGTTTTATTGTCATATCGCAACCTGTGTTCTTGCCTTTCGGGAAGTCGTTTTTTTTAATGTGACCGACCATCCACCCGATTCCGTTGACTCGGCTTTCTAGGGCTATCGGCCTATCACGATGCACAAGGTATGTGATGCAGCGTGTGCTCCCTTCTGTCTGGCTGTCAGCAATCAAAGAACTTTGAGCTGTCATGGTCAGGTCCACGTCACAAAGCTGGCCCTACGATAGGAGTCTTTAAGGACTGAACCAGCCAGCTCAAGTTACAAAATCCCTCTGATATAGCCGAATATTCTTCGGAGCCCTTCACTCTCACAGTCACGTTGCCGTGCAGGCGCATTCCAAGAGGGTTAGCTAGAGAGAATTCTCAAATGTGACCGGGCTGGTTCAGTACTCTTCACTTTCACAGCTGAGACTTTCCTGAACCTCCTCCTCTTCCACACACAACCGGCATCCATGTGAGATTCAGGGAGAGCATTCTCAAGCTATTCGCCACTGCCATCTCTCTTGCCATCTCTCTCTCTCTCTCCTGTCTCTTATACACATCTAGATGTGTATAAGAGACAGATCCCAGACAGCTGAACCACTGAGTAGAATCCCAGTTTCTCAAGGTTATTCAGGGCCGTGTGAAGCTTTTCCTGCATGGTAGTTTGGAGCACCTGATGTGCTGTTTCTTGGGTGTAGGGTTGAACATAAAACTAGTTCCCGAGGTGCTGATTGGTGGATTTTTCGGTTTTGAAGTAGCCAGCAGGCTGCTATCAATCTGTTGAGAGTCTCTCTTTCCGTTTCTGCTGCCGTTGACATCTTGACAGTCTCTCTCGCTCCTCACTTGACCTGCACACATATTATTGGTGGGTTTGGTGGCCTTAAAAACCCCTGACCTCTGACATAGTAGTGGAAGAGGTGGAAAGGGTGTTTGGGTCTCTGTAGATGGATGTGATGGGGAAGGAACCTTTTGGAGTTGCATTGAATGATCACTCAAAGCCGTTTGCTACCATCTTGCTGATGAATGTTCCATCTCCTTATTGGTCCATCCATTGCAGACGGCCTGGCGCTATCTGGGCACTGCCCCCCAATTAAAGCCGGTCTACCATTGAGTGTTTCTACACCAGTCTCATCTCAGGCTGTCTTGGCGCTGCAAGTTCGTCAACGACTATTCTGAATCATGGATGTCACGTCGCCTTCTGGCTGAGCACAGCATTTATACCGCTAAGTATTGCACGCCTATCCCAACATACCTGTAGCTTCCTCTGTCAGCTGACCCGATATGGCCGTTTTTTCTCCCTGATGTCAGATAATACTCTTGTTTTTATGTTGGTTATGGACTTTCCTAGCACTTTTTCCAGATTTCTTTATTTACTGTTCTTTCAACTTCTTTGTCATTAAATGTATGCAAATCGACAGCTAGGACAGCAAAGGTGCTTTTTTCTGCGCAACCTTAGCCGACATAATTTCTCTGTATCTTCACATCAGCAGAGACGAGTTTTAAGTATGCCATGTCTTTAATCAGACTGTGTAAAACTGCCATACCCTTGCATTGCAGGTCACCAGTCTTATCTTGCTGGTAGTTGGGCCCCTACCGATGAACTCCTGCGTAGGCTTCTAGCTTTGTTCTGCATGATTGGACTAGTGATAACAAAGGTTCAAACCTGTATCCGATTCTTCCCTGCATCTCCACAGTTTGTTTGACTCTGCAATTTGCCAAACTGCAGAGTTTTAGGGGGTCAGAGATTCCCTCTCGACTGCCGACCTTGCGGTGTTGCTGGATTGCACATGGAGGAGGATCATGCAGATTGCAGTGAAGGGTTATCATGTCTCTTGATAGACATGTGTAACTCATCTTTCCTCCTGTTTGCGGTTCCTGTGCCCCTGATGACAAGCCACTGCATCACGTCGCCGATTGTCGGGGTTAGGAAAATCTGGCAGGTGCTGACTGTTTCTATGTCTCATTGGATTAAGAGTTCGGCAACCCTCAGAGCGGTGAGTAGGCTGGTGTTAGACATTGGTGAGTCGGATTGAAAAATGGGGGAAAAAAAACACCGTCCTGAGCAGGAAGGCTTCACAGATTGGAAATTGTGAATGTTGCCCTTCTGGCAGTCATTTTTATTGGCAAACAAAGGGAAAAATGGCAGAGAACAGAAAGGTATTAAATAACTGATTGAGAAGTGTGCAGCAGAAAAGCAGGGGAAAGAAAAGAAAAGCCCTCTGTGTGTTGTAGATTTTCACCACAACAGGCCCTGTTCCACCCAGATGAGGAGATTCAAAAATCAAAGCAGCTTTACCTCTGTTGCAGACAATGAAGCACACTTGAGATGAGTCAATCAACAAACAGTTTCACCTCTATAGCAAGCAACATTGAGCGCAATAAATCCTTTATATCCCTTTCTTGCTAGGCTACCAGCTGGGACGCCTGGGTCCTGAGTGGCCAGCCCGTGCAAGGACCAGGGAAGGTCCCAGCAAAATAATAATAATAAAAAAGAAATCCAAAAAATCCGGAAAAAAACTATGTTATGCAGAAAAATAAACTAAACAACTTTTGCCTCAGGGTCACATCGAAATTCTTCACCGAATTTAGAATAAAAAATAAAATTTAAAAATTAATGTTTGCAGTTCCGACTGGGCAAGTGAACCCGGGCCACTCTGGTGGTCAGCTTTCTTGACTATCTTACTCTGGCTTTCTTTGGGCTACCCCTTTTATTTGTTCTTGTAGCTCCCTTTTTACTGTGCCTCTGACATACAAGGCTGGCCACGTTGATTGTGGTTGAGCGCCAGCTGCCCACATCCCCGTGTGCCTCTGTGTGTGTGTGCCTGTGTGTGTGTGTGTGTGCGTGTGTGTATGTGTGTGTGTGTGGATGAAGCTCTTCTATCTCGCACCTGCGTTCACCCGAACCCACTGTGTCTATTACAACGCTGCTGTCTCCCGGACTTCTCTGACCTTTTCACACACCACCTTTGCTCTCTCACGGGCGCATGTGTGAACCTTATCTGTCACTCTTGGTGCCTCTTTCCCTTTGACCTTTTGTTTAGACTGTTGATGTGCTTGAAACTTTAGAGACCAATGCCAAAGCTCTGTGGGCCGCAATCGTTTTCAAATCGATGGGTACTAGTGTGGCTTTCTCAATCGAAAATTTGATGTGATGAGGCTGTGATTGTGGCCTCGTTGACCAAAAATGTGGCTGTGATTTGCACGGGCGTTCGGTACTTAGGTTTTCATTTGGTGGCTAGGAGCCGGAGTCCATTACATTGAACCTGGTTATGCCCTTCTGTAGTGTGTAGGGTTTTACCCTGTGGAGAAGAGCGAGGCGTTGGATCCCCATCACTCGTGGCATTGCATGCTGAGTCAGTCTTCTGGATAGCTAAGTTTTGATTTTGTTTAATCAATTAAGTGTCTCTATTAGCCACTTGTTTCAACTTTCAACCTGCTTCATATTTGTCAGGTCACTTCAAATTCTAACTCTGTGGCTCAAGCTATCTCGATGCAGCCGCTGATGGACTGATGTTTTTTTTCTTTTCTTTTTCCCCCTTCTCAGGTGAGCTGAAGAACACTCTGAACAAGCACAAGGGTCCTATTTTTTCTCTGAAATGGAACAAGAAAGGTGACTGCTTGTTAAGCGGGAGTGTGGATAAAACTGCCATCATCTGGGATGCAAAGACAGGGGAGGTCAAGCAGCAGTTTGAGTACCATCAAGGTTTGTAAAATGAAATGCATGAATGGACAGAGTGAGGAGTGTTCTGTCATTTCCCGCGTTTTGAATTGCAATGTACCCTGTGCGTGCATTTTTCAATCGCATTCTCCCCGCCACCACACAAAAAAAAGACACGGGCCCGCTCTGTTCTGGGGTGCAGCAGTCCGGTTGCTTATTACTGGCAAACATGAGTTCAAGCAAGAGAGAGTGAACAGAAAGAGTTGCGGCCCGTCCCCCGTGGCCCGAGTCACCTATAAGGCGGGGCTGCAGGGGCGGGGTGAGACTCCACTCATCTTGCACCTGGCTTCTACCGGCTGCTCCCAGCCTCACTTGTTCACTACATGCATCTCGAACTTACACATCCACAAGGGGGATTCCCTTACCGCATTTAAAGATGGCGAGGAAGGGAAAGTTTTATATACCAGCTGACACGTGATGCTGGGTTTCCACTCCGTGTTTGGCCGTTTGGGTATGTTCGAGGTCAGGGTGGTTGCTGCATACGACCAAAGTTATGGGCTTTGTTACCCTGCCTTTGGGTTTGCAAGGCCACTGCCTTGGACAAGGAGGAATGACACCAAGTGCACTTGTCGTATGGTATGATGAGAGCTTCAACAGCGAACTGCGCCCGGCTCCTGCCAGATAGTCGCCAAAAGCTGCCGGCCTTGTGCTTGTTCTTTGACTTCTAGTATCTTTTGTCCTTCAGCTGACGGTCGTTGGAGTCGATAAAATTTCACTCTCTCTTCTTCACAGCTCCCGAACGCTGATAGCCCAGCCTAAAGCTCCGAGGGTACCAAATGACCTGGTCTGGGTGCAGCATGGTGTGCTGTATGCACTTGGGCCAGAGAGACCTGGCCTCATTGGCTGGTTTCAGCAGGGTGGTATCATGCCACTCCCCCTGCCTAGGCAGAAGGCAGCTGATTCCCTGCCATACAACGCCTGCACTGCTTACAGCCTCTCCTTGATTTGAGAAGCAGAGCACCTTGAGTGTGGCATAGATGGAGAGGGGGGGAAATCTTGAGAGGTTACGGTGTTAGGCAAATATGTGGTTGATGGGCCACGTTATTATTCCATAAGAAGTATCAATCAATAAGTTAATAACTGATGTTATGAAGTTTTGCAGTATGTGTTTTTCCACTGAACGAGACATACAGACCACTGCATGTGGGTGACCCTCCAAGGATCTGCCTTCTTTCCCTATACTTCGTTTGGGGTCTGTGTTGCACTTCTCTTTTGCCAATGTGCTCTCTCTCTCTTTTTGCAAACCAGCTTTTCAGGCAAGTGATGCCGCTTGTACATTTGGTTATTTCATTTTGTTTGTTGTTTTTTGAGATGTTGTCAAACCACTGTCGCACTTTCAAGCAGTGCAGGGCACGCAAGTCATTGTTGAAAGAAAGAACTTTGTCAGAGTTAGGTGAAGCTTCCTGGTTAGTCATGGCCACTAGGAGAGCTTATTGGCCTGCTTCCTGTGTGCCTTGTTCTTGTGTTTCTGTAAATCTTGGAGCAGCTCCCACACTTGACGTCGATTGGCGCAACAATACGGCATTCGCCACGTGCTCCACAGACAAGATGATTTATGTGTGCAAGCTTGGGGAGGTCAGGCCGGTGAAAACATTTGCAGGGCATTTGGTGAGTTTGCGGCGGGATTGGGGAGCTGAACTTTGTGGATTTAGTTTTGTGCACACAGCCAATGGCCCACCTTTTGCAATATTTTTCAGCATTGAAGTCCTTGTGACTTGATTTGTCACCCTCCTGACCACTGCACACACGTCATCCTGTGTCACAAAATGTAGTCTGAGTGACCCGCTTCTCATAATCTTCAGCACCGCACTCTCTCCCTAGGTTGACTGATTTCGATGCTTTCCATGCTGGGTCTACCCCGTTACGTTGAGTCTATGCATATTCTTGTATGTGGTCGATGCTCATCGGGTGAGAACATTTTCATCGCATGTCCAGGGAAGCCGAAAAGAGTCTAGTTTCTACACTCTTTGATGTTTTTCTCTACTACACCCATCCATACCATCCTCTCATTGTGTGTCCTCAGTGTAGAGGACAAGAGGACTTGCTGTCTTTGTATAACTGTGGCGTGCGTTTGTATGGTGTGGATCTCATTTATTTATAGCTTCTGGTACTCAGAAGTGATGACACTCAACTGGAACTTTAGTAGTTGAAATTTTGATGGCTAATGGCCTTGGCCCGTCGTTCGAGTATGGTGTGGATCTCATTTATTTAGGGGTTGGAAGGGCCTGAGTCGAGGACAACCGATTGGCGGTGATTGTGAGCCTCCTTTGTATCTACCAGCGCTCTTGAACTGAATTGGAAAATAGGAACGTTGGAACTAGCAGTTGCTTACTCTGATCTCATTGGTGGTTAAATTTTGCCTTGACAGGATGAAGTAAATGCCATCAAGTGGGACCCAACGGGGACTCTCCTTGCGTCTTGTTCTGATGATTTCACAGCCAAGGTGTGTACACATGGTTGCTTCGGGTTGGTCGTTGAACATGTCGGGAAGAACAATTGGGTTCATTCTAGCAGAGTTTATGAATGAGATTAATTCTTTCCCAGTACATGATAGCGAAAATTGGAATGCAGCACTTGCCGCAAGGTGGGCAGCTGAGACAATCGCAGAAGTCGGCATTTACAATGCAACAAGAGTATATTGAGACGCCTAGTATGGGTCATTAAAAGGTTGAGGGTTGTGCTCACTCCAATCCAAAAGTTTGTTTCCGTCCTTCCTCAGAAAGAGTAGAAGATAAACCCAAGAATTTCAGAACAAGTGATTGCAAGTCTAGGCTGCCAAGACATCCGGCCCCAGACATCCGACTGGACGTCCGGGGTCCAGGTAGTCCGGTTTTCCGGACATTCAGCTGTTCAATGTGTCTCCCAGGCTGTGCAAGCGCGGGCCACGCAAAGGATGGACCTTTGGGTTGAATGCTGAAAATTTTGGAATATACATAATATAGTAATATACATCTAAAAATGAAACAAAACGACAATCTAATGGTCCTTAACACTGTTTACCATCTTTTTGCTGCACACAAAGGATGGACCTTTGGGTTGAATGTGAAAATTTTGGAAAATACATAATATACATATAAAAATGAAACAAAACAACAATCTAATGGCCCTTAACACTATTTACCATCTTTTTGCTGATCTGATGTACACATCAGATGATCAAATCTGATGTTTGGATCTGACCATCATCTCTCTCTCTCTCTCTCTCTCTCTCTCTCTCTCTCTCTCTCTTTGTGTGTGTGTGTGTGTGTGTGTGTGTGTGTGTGTGTGTGTGTGTGTGTGTGTGTGTGTGTGTGTGTGTGTGACAAACAGACATGTAACACAGGGCGTCCTCTGACTGTATAGCAAACATGACAAACACGCACTCATGTACAACACTGTGTATCCTCCAGCTGCACCCATAATCGGACCCCCGCCATCATTGCCAGATGACGAACAGATGCAGCAGCCTGAGATAGAGAATAGACTCTCACATGAACCACCCGTACTGAAAGGTCATCGCCCCCAGGGCAAGCAGTTACAGACCAGATCTTGTAACAGCTACGCACCCTTACTCTGGATCAGTCCCCGTCATCACCTGTCCATTGCGAGGGAATGTGAGCTGCACAACACCAAGAAACTTGCTGAATGCCTCCCTGTGATTGCCCACCTGAAATTTGGCTAACAGCGATTGGCATCCTTTATGTCATGAGGATTATGAGGGTATAGCCTGGGCAAGTCTTTGTTTTCATACATAGTCTGACAGTCAACATTGTACTCATGTATGACGCGCTGACGTGTTATGTCCTATTTGTAGACAGTGGCTGGAACCGCAATGCGTATACAACTGAGGTTGGCGTGCCTCTGTGTCCCTAGCATGTGAGAGCCACGTTGCCTGTGACATGTCTACCCCATGCCATTGGATCTCTTCGTCTTGGTGGAGAAGGGATGGTTGTGGTGAGACTCTAAACCACACACACACAACTTTTCTCAGGGGTATCGCTAGCTCTGGGTGGCGTGGTGAGTCCTTATCCATCAGTCAAATTCATCCTGGGCAGACTGTCGGTCCAGGTTCAACCTTCTGACGGTTCAGCGAAAGTCTAACAAACCAGTCTGGCACAGTCATGCTTTCGCTGTGGATTTGTGTATAGCAAACATGACGAAACACACATACGGGGCCAAATTCTACAATCCGGTCTGCGCGCAAATTTTCACCTGTTCTGTACTGAAGGTCTTCCCAGATGCACATCAGTGTTGTCCGCCCGCACTAGACTGATGGCCTGAAGGGTCCCCCGGACATCCAGGCCAGCAGCACAGCTTGGATTTCAATTTACTGGAGAACTAGTCTAGCAGCCTGGCTGCCCTGGCCAAGTCGGGGCGAGGTCCTAGTTAGCTCCAGCGCAAGATAAAACCATTTAAATTTCTCAGAACAGTATGGAAACAACCTATGTTGTGCAGAATCGCTGCGGTTATTGAAGTTTTCCTTAATTAATGATGTTGATTCAAAGCCTGCATTAAGAACCATTTCTGTGCAGTCCTGATCAACTTTCTGTTCACTTTCTGTGCTTCCTTGCGGAATTCCATGCAGTAGATGAAGATATTTGCCAGACCGCTCCCCTCGAAAATGCTAACTCTCGAAGGAAGATCTTTGCAGGCTGTCTTTTTCTTAGTAAAGAATTAGGCTTTATTTTTATTGAACAAAATTTTAAATTTCCCTTTATGCGTCTGGATTTTCATCCTGGGCAATATGTCTTGACATGAGTGGTCTCTGTGCTGGTCCTTTTTGTTTGTGCTTAATTTCCTTCTTCACCTTCATTGGCCCCCCTCTCTCTCTCTCTCTCTCTCTCTCTGTGTGTCTCCCCCTCTCTCTCTGTGTCTCCCCTTCTCCCTCCCCCCCCTCTCTTCCTCTCATGTATGTGTAGATATGGAATTTGAAACAAGAGAAATGGGTGCACGACCTGAGGGAGCATACCAAGGTGAGGAAAAGTTGTAATGATGCATTTCATGTATGGAGTTCTTGGCGGCAAAGAAGGGGAAGGTTCGGGGGGGGGTGGATACCTGAAGGCCATGGCGACCTTTCAGAAAGGATGGATTTTGTGGCACCCATGAAGGGTGCAAAATTGGTGCTGAATACTCCTTTGCAGACTGGATGTCATCCCCACCTTCGTCCAGTATTTCACTGGCAGTTTTTTTTTGTGAGTGCAGCACATCGTTGCGATGTCTTAGCAACATAAAACGAGGGTTGCATTATAGGACTTAACCCAACATCTCAGCACACGAGCTGACGACAACCATGCAGCACCTGTATGAAGTCAAAGTGCATCTCTTACGAGGATTTTCTTACGAGGGTTTTCCAAATTTCCACTGTTTTTCTCAGAGATATAAGTTTGTATTTTTAGTTGATAACGTAAGGCCACAATAAGTGTATAATACGACTCAGGCCCGCCAGGGGAGCCGCAAAGGAGTAGTAGTTGAAAATGCCACGGGTTCTTGCTTTGTAAAATGCAAGTATATCTGCATGGTCCATCGGGTAGGTTTGGAGTTTGTTCTGCAATTGCTGCCACTGTCTCAGCCTCTCTTTTTCTCCTTAGCAGCTTAGTGAAACATGATGATTTTCTTCGTCCTTTACTCTTCTGCTTTTCGGTTGGGCCCTCTGGATGTGTCGGTGTTCCATTTTGGGATTCTTGATGTGTTCCTTTTTCTTTTCGTCCTCCTTGCACATTGGCCACCAGCCTAGATGTCTCTGTATTGTATTGTTCCAATTGTAAGTTTTTAACAGATGTCCCGAAGGGCATCCTGCACTTCTTCTTAAAGCTGTGCAGTACTCATATTCTGCATTAATCATATTCTGCATGAGAGGGTTGAAATGGGAGTAGGAGGGCTCCAATGCGGAGCGTAGCTTAGCATTCTGTTAAGATCTGAGTTCACTCGTGATGAAAAGCTTCAAATTGAGGCCAGGTACATGAATCACAACACAAGAATAAAGAGTAGAAGTGAAAGGAAAAAGAAAGAGGTGAGAAGTCGTGAAGAAATGGAAGGAGGACACAAGTTTACTCTCAATGGTGTATACCCCTCTTCTGCCACCTCGTAATTGGATGAAGAATTAATGTCCAATGAATCTCCCCAGCTTGATCATCTTGAGAAGGAACTTGCTTAAGCTCTGGTGGTAGCTCTACTATGTGCAGCGGATAATTCACTCGTCAAGCAGAATGGACAGAGGACTGCGCAGGCCAGCGGGCTAGCTCAGTTGGTTGAGCACGTAAGTGGTACTCAGGAGGTCGTGGGTTCGATTTCCCACAGCATCCATTCGGCTGCCCACGGCCCCCTGCTGCACGCTTCAGGCTCATCACCTGAGATAGACGGTTCACCCCCCCCCCCTGCCCCTTCCACCACCCTCGCTAGGGGGGTTGGATTCAACCCTGAGGGGATATGCTCAACCGGGAAGGCTCAACCCTGAGGGGATAGGTAGGCTGGATAGATTGGGGAGGAAAGTGTCCCATAGATATATAGTGCACAACCCATAACCCAAAGAATAGCTTGCTTTGCGTCAGTAGATTAAGGTACTGCCAGCTCTCAATTAGGAATGGGCTTGTGGTAGGACTAGTACAAAGACAAGGTAAGTCTCCATACCAGATAACATGAGTGAATAGGTAGGTAGCTAGTGTGAGCTGGACACAATACTGAGAGAAGAACATAGGGTAGTAAAATACCGCTGGTCCCCCATATCTGAGTAGACGACGGCTGTTTTTTTTTTTTCTTTTTTTTTCGTTTTTTTTTTTTTTTGAAGTACAGAGGACTGCACAGCCGGATACTCTGTTCCTCTCTCATCCATCCACAATGCCACACTCTCGGATGAAGTCGATGCCCAATGGAACCCTGAAACGGTCTTCTTGATGCTTCCCCAATCATGGGAGTGAAGTTGCTTGTCCACCATAGCCCATGTAAGTAACTCGGTTTAGTTTCCATCATGTTTCTCTGCTTCACTCTCACCGTCCAACTCTACCACTTCCACCTTCGCATGTACTGGCCCAATGCGTCCTCCAGCACCCCTCACCATAGCCAACCCTTCGCCCTCTTTCTATTGGTCTCCTCCACCAAGCCATGAATGGCTTCTTCAAGTTCTTCTCCTTCACCAAGCTCCCCCTTCAGCTTCCGGCATGGCCAACTTGATTCCCTTCTGGGTGAACCACCGGCGTTATTGCCGCAGTGAGTGTCAAATGAACCGGCACTCCCTTACATACGTGCTTGCTGGGGGTAGGTCAAGCGGCCAAGCTCACTCTGCTCCTGGTTGACTCCTGGGCCTTCCTGCCCCTTTCCTAGGCCTACTGGTTCCCAGCCAGAGGCAGGAACGTCACTGCAGAATGTTCTTTTATTTATTGTTAAATAAATTGGACCATTATCTCCATTTATGTGTGGCATCCTTGTTCAGGGGCCATGCTAATCTCCATTTATGTGTAGCGATCCAATTTTACCAGATGTGCTGAAGGACACATCATTGCAGAACGTAATCCAACCTCGACCGGATATCTAGCCTAGCCCTGATCTTGATTATGTTCGGTCCTGTACCATCATTACTTGTACGTCTACCGAACTCGGGCCCCTCCAAGGTGCTGGGAAATCCTACCCACTCCACGTTCTTTGACTGTGACCCGTGCGGCAATCATTGCAGTTCAATCAATCAGCATACCGCTGCAGCTTGCAGAAGAGGCCTTGCGGATGCTCACAGGTAGAGAAGATGCCTCGTGGAGGCCTTGTTCATGCTTGCCCACATGTAGAGAAGAGGCCTTGTGAATGCTCGCAGGTACAGGGGAGGCCTAGCACATCTCTTCGTGCTATTGCAAAGTATAGCCCTTAAAACACACATTCCGTCACAGAAAACGGATACCACATCTGGTTATTGCACGGTGAAGGTTTGGAACGTCGGGTTACGGCTGAACAGGTGCTGCAGACTTTGCAGATGTGGGCTTAGGACAGAGCGCGAGTGGTAGAAGAAGGTTACTTCAGCATAGGGCCTTGCTCTGGACAGTACCACCCTCCAACAAGCTAGGCTACGAGAGTGGCCTGGGACCTCTTGCCCGGCTGGGCAAAAAACAAATAAAAATATGTGAAAAATATTAAAAATAAATATTATTTTTTTATTTTAAATCTGGTAAAGAATTTCGGTTTGACCCTGAGGCAAAAGTTGTTCAGTTTATTGTTCTGCATAACATAGTGTTTTGTCGGCTTTTTTTTTTTTTTTTTTTTGCTAGGATCTACCCTGATCCTTGCACGGCCGGGCCGCCCGGGAAAATAGAGTGACGCGGGCGGCCCGACTGGTAGCGTAGTTAACAAACCCTTTCGAGAGGAAGGCTCAGTATCCTTCAACGAGCCTTTTCAAGAGCAAGGCTCTGTGTGTACTCTCGAGTCCGTGCATGCACAAGTCTTGCCTGATTATGCATGACGGCGTGCAGAAAAAAAAATGAAGCTCGTACAAGCAAAATGTTCTTACAACCCGGAAATGTTGAAATACAGACCCAAGTTCGAATCCAGATACAATCACATGACCAGAATAATATCTATGACCAGAATAATATCTATCACTCTGAATATGTAGAATGGGTTCCTGAAAACTTTTGATGCTTTGAATGATGGTTGTTTATGCGGAGCCTGAAAAGCCTCAACTTAACTTCCTGCCTTTTTTTTTTTTTTTTTTTTTTCAGTTGCCCGATGGACCCCAGATCAGATATGAAACTGATCAGAACAGATACTACACTTCTTGATCTTAGCCAAAAGGCCGAGACTACACTTGATCTTAGCCAAACGATACTACACCTGAAAAGCCTCAACTTAACTTCCTGCTTTGTTGAATCTGTCTGTGCAGGAAATATACACAATAAAGTGGAGTCCTACTGGGCCGGGGACAAACAACCCGAATCAACATCCTGTGCTGGCCAGGTATATGTGAAGCGAAGATGCAAACGGTTACCCCCAACCCAGTACATGCACGCTTTACGGCGCGTCTCTTTCATTAGGCCGTTCTGTAGGCCCCTGATGAAATGCGTTTGCATAGGGCAGGGAAGGGCATCCACTGCTCGGAGGTCTTGATGTGTGTCGTCAAAGAGTGTAATCAGGCTCTGCGCTATGGGTGTAGTTTCAGATCCGTTAATCGACAAAAAGTTTGGCTGCTTCATTTACCGATGGCCGAAGTTGCGTGGACACAAGATCCTGTTGGTTTTGCCTTGGAACGTGACACAGCTGGATCTCTGAGCAGAAGCAAACTGATTGGTGCGGAAAGCAGAGCTAAGTGGCTTTGTGGCACGATCGGCGAGAGCGGGACATAAATGGGGTCAGAAGGGGCTTAAAGGGGTGTGCCTTTGTGTGTTTATCTTCGATTCCATCAGGAATTCTAAGGTGACGCTCAGCCGAAAAGTTGTTTGCATTGCAATTCTACTCAACATTTTTTAACTTCACAAACTTTGCGCTGGGACTGCCCGGGACCTGCATGGACCTTGCCCGTGCACTTGGAAAGTTGTCCCTACGAAAAAAAAAAAAAAAAAAAAAAAATCATCCCTGGAGAGAGCAGGTATGAAGCGCAGAAAGTTGTCACCAATTTCAATGGGCGGGAAAAGCCTCTGAGGCCTTGGAGGAGGGGGAGGAGGCGAACGAGGGGGGGGGGGGGGGGGGGGGGGGGGGAGGGGGGGGGGGGGGGGGGGGGGGAGAGAGGAGGAGGAGGAGGAGGAAGAAGAAGGGAATAACAAGATGGAGGGTGATGATGAGGTGAGCCAAAGGTGTTTTGCATGCAACTAGGGCATGAGGAGGAGAATAGAGGATGCGTTCAGGAATATTTGTGGTGTGGCCAAGATTCTCAAGGCAGACAGGGCCAATCAAGACAGAAGATGAAGACGAAAGCAGCAGTGACGCTTAGACGAACACAGGCGTGCCTCCCTAATTTGGCACATGCCTTCGGGGATGAAGAGCAGGAAGCAGATGATCAGGAGGAAATAATAGAGGAGGAAAATAATAGAGGTTAGAAAATGAAGATGGGTCTAAACAGCAGAACAGAAAAGGAGGCAGGTGTGTTTGTTGTCGCTCGATGTGTGTCACCCTATGTGTAGCACCGATGTTAGTATCCGCCTGACGATGACCAATACCTTGTTTTGCTCTTTTTCGATCCACGTTTAGTAGTTTACCCTTTGTTGCTCATTTTGTGTCATTTGCTGGAATTTTTTTTTTGTGTGTACACAGTGCTTCATTTGATGCTACAATCAAGCTCTGGGATGTGGAACAGGGGAAGTCATTCTTCAGCTTGACGCAACACAGGTGCGCACTGTTGCACACTTCCTGTTGGATTTTGCTGTTCGGCTGTAGAGTCCCCTTCGGAACACGAAACATGGCCGTTAAAGTTGTACTTGACCTGAAACTCTCTAACGGTAACCTTTCATAATATTATTATTATTATGCTCATTCATAAAGCTGTATCTGACCTTTAAAGGTTAAAAAAAAAAAAAAAACCTTCAATGTTTGTACCGTTACAGATGCCATGGATAGAGATGTGCAGATGACGTAAAACACGGCCAGCATCAACGGGACCCAACCCAACTTGCCTCCTGAGTCCTAACTTAAAGGGAACCTCTTTGTTCAGCAGCCAAGACTCATGTCCTTTGATGAAACAATAATAATAATAATAACAACAATAATAATAATGATAATAATAATAATAATAATGATAAAAAATATATATAATAATAATAATAATAATAATAATAATGATCAGTTCAGCAGCCAAGCCTCATTTCTGTTGTGGTCAACATTCTGAAAATGTCTCGGAGGAAGACAAAAAAAAAAAAAAAAAAAGTGTAAACGTGACAGGAATGGCATGAGGGAAGCAAATTGCAATGTAGATCTGTTGGATTCCATATCCTCCGGCCGTGGGCGAGGATGTGTTTCATAACTTTCATTCCTCCGTTGGTTTTTGGACAGTTTTTGAATGTGCAGTCCTATTTTTTTTCCGATGCCTTATCTCGGTATGGACGAGTTCTACAGATTCCCCACGTCCTCCAGCCGGCAAGGGTGGGCTCCGAGCTTCCGCACTCTCTAGAATGTTTAGCTAGGTTGTGTTTCTTTCATCGCCATGTCT